ATCATTTTACGTGATATCATTTTCTTAGAAAAGTTCTTATTGTCTTTCAGTCAATCATAATCCAGAATTTCGATGTGTAATTTGCACTAGTGTTACGCTTCGCGACAACCAAGACCCAATTGGCGCTGTGTGCGTGAGCAATTGCGCGTACTTTAACAATCAAGCGATACCGGCTTGGTCCTTAGAGTTTGAATTTAGTTGTCTGTGCGATCACAAAGGCTCAGCCAGGTATTATCAAAAGTGAAAGTTATGCTTTTCCCAGGGGAACCACTTATATTAGAATAACAAAGAAAATTATTCAACTCAATGAAATGAAGCAAAACGCGCAAAATCACTTAATAACCATAATATGTTGTGGAATATTATTTAGCACCGGCTGCTTGAGAAAGCTTGATTTCACGCGATCTGTAACGGTAAGTTTCAGTCTCAAACGAACCTAGCTGTAAAAACGTACAGTTACATTTTTATAACATACTTTCACAACTTCTTTAAAAGCTCTCATTAGGGCAAGGGTTGCTGAGCATTTGCTAAGATTTCTGTTCGGCGCAAAGGCTGGCCGTCGTGTCGATCGGTCAGTACTCATAGATCCTGTCGTTGTAGATTGGAATGCGTGGTCTCGTACTCAGCGGAAAGAACTACTTTGGGAAAGTTAGCATGATAAACTATAAAAACTTCCTCTTAGATTGCAAATTAAAGCTAAGATCACAACAACCCTCGCCAATCTGGGCTTTATGCTTTATTTACCAAATAGAAAACGCGCTCGTACACGCACATTCATCGACTTGAAAATTTGTGTTCATCCTAAAAAACTTTTTCCACTATATTTTGCCACTTGAACTTCAACTTCCGCCAAGAACATGATTTGATCCTATAATTATGACTATAATGTCATACCTAAAAACACTGGTCGTAAGGCAGTACTCGAAAACTTAATATATATACTGATTAGGTCTTACACGTACGAAAAAGATGCCCCCAAGCCTTGTCAACTTTATTTGCATTTTCCTAAAAAATTTGCGTGGGTTTGACAGACTTGTTTTTGTTTTAAGTATTTCTTATTTGTCAAGAACGAAGCGGCGCAAATTTTGCACATAAACGAACTATTTGAATAAATAGCACACGCTTAATCCTGAAGCTTATGACACCGCAATCAGGCACTAGCTGTATTGAAAACAAAAGCAGAGAGATTTCTATCTGGTGTTAAATGTAAAACAACAGGCGGGATTTGTGTGCGTTCGCGGACTGCAGGGAATTTCGCGCTCCCCGGATAACCATAACGCGATTGTAATCTGCCAGAAATATCACGTTATGAGTTAAACTTTACGATTACCTCTACAATTGTGATAGTTCTTTGTTCACATGCAATGTTACAGAAACATGCAAGCAGTTAACGGGCTGTCGACGTTTACGAGGATGTATTTGTCAGTGTTGCTGCTCTTGGCCTCTTCGAGATTGTAAGTAGTTGAGACAGCTTCCGCTTCACTACTGAGGATGATGAAATATCGATCTATACCGGTATATATAGTCACTTATATTGATAAACATTTGTGCTTTAATTCAAGCATGACACTCACAACAACACATACAGCATCTAGCGAAAAAAATTTAGTCGACGTGACCACAAGCTGCACTATATTTCAAGCAAAATTGTTATCGAGACAGGCAAATTTTGAGGTATAGAGAGACTTGAAAGTAGTAAAGGTATAGTCAGGTCAAGCAGCCAAAACTACATTAACTACAGCTCTTCAGAATTTGCAGTTGTCTTGAAGAAAGAAGCAGTGCTGTGATTTGAAATAAAATGTGTTCTACACCACTGGGCACAGCGTTGCAGATCAGTGGTCACATCGACTTTAAAATTTGTGCACACGTCATTACAGAAAGTGGGCAAATATTGAAGCTGTTATACGCAACGTTTGGCAGATAATGTACTAAACAAATCAAACAAAAGTTAACACTGTTGAGCCCCATGTTGTACGCAATGAACAAAAGTTAAACTGTTATGCGCAATTTTCCATATAGTGGAAACACGTTCAAACTAGTCAACAACAGGTAGTTAACACGTGTTATAACTGTTTTTAGTGATGTTACAGGCAGGGCACACATTTTGAAACTGTTTTGTTCAAGGTCGCAGGAAGGGGACATACGTTGAAACTGTTTACACGTAATTCTTTTCACAGCAGACACACGTGTATTGTATTGCACAAAATGTTAGAAATAGTAAGCGTTATAATCAATCAAATATTTTCGCTCGCGCGTAATTGGTCCAAACTAAAATTGGGGAATATCCGAGGATATTCCCCAATTTTCAAAACTGTGCATGTTGCGAAAAGTATTTGAAGAATATAGTAAACGTAATAGCCTGTTTTTGGCGCAAAAATATGCTCGGATATTTGTCCTTGGACATTAACTGTTCCTCGAACGTCACAGTTTTCCTTGAGCTACGCTCTCGGATAACTGTTCGCTTCTCGGAACAGATAATGTCGCGGAAAATTATCTGAGCATATTTCCACGGCAAAGGGAGGCTATTGTTTATTTATTCCTGCTCTGCTACAGGCAGGGGTCTTATATTGCAGGTTACACACTGAGTGTGAACTTACGCACGATGCTACACCGTGTATTCTAGCCTAAGCAGGCGCATTTATTATTTCAGAGTCGTTTGTGAAGAGGATGTAGTAACGAAATTCTTTACTGACTATGACAAAGCAGTACGCCCTGATTTTGGTAAGTGAAGGAGATTTATCTATAAAAACAAAAATAACTTTTTTCACTAAGTTGATAAGGGCTAGGCAAGCCCTATGGCTAGTGGAATCCGCAAGGTAGCTGACAGAGAGGGAGGCGAGAAGGAGGCCGCGTAACAGGTGAAGTAGGGATATAGAATGCCCTATCCAGTTGGATGGCTTCTCGGCTTGGACGCAGATGGAACGCTTGGCCAGGAATAGAGTTGATTGGAGGTGTTTTGTCAATGGCCTACGCTCTGAAATGTAGTAGACAAGCTTCAGATCAAAATGAGGGCTTCAAAGGAAAATGAGGAGTTTGCGGCATATAACTCATGAACTCTTTTACACCCCTCCTAAAAGTTAAAAGTTAAACCCGATGACAAGGAGAATCGAAACTATTTGAGCCAGAAAAGCGTTAGAAACAATGATAGAAAGATGTAAATAACTTACAGGCGGCCTTTGACATACGTCTCTGAAATGAAAGAAAAATTCTAATCCCGGAGACATGAATTTTTCTTTCATTTCAGAGACGTATATCGAACGCCGCCTGTATGTTATTTACCTCTTTTTAAACCCGAAGACGAAAGCTCTTCATTTGTAACGTAAGTAACTATGGAGCGACAACCACGACGAATTTTATTGATTTAGCATTTCTTTTTTCTCATTAGATCAGGGGAAGCCTACAATCATTATGGCAGACATATATGTGGAGTCCTTTGGAAACATCGAAGAAGCAAATATGGTGCGAAAACTTTGTTCACTTCTTTGATTTAGATACAGGTAGTCTTACAAAACATTAATATGTCTATTTTGTTCTTTTTTAACCTAGCATATAGCTTCGTATAGACGGCGTTTGCCAGTGGTGGCAATTAATCTGGCTTATCAGTTTTAAGTTTCGCAGCGCTTTTCAATCGGAAGCCGCCACTTTCGGTTGTCGCGGCCTCGTAGTTTGTAAAACGCAACTCAATCACTGACGTTTATTTTGTTAACAGGAATATAAAGCCTACACTTACTTTCGCCAAAGATGGACGGATTCACGTCTTGCTGGAAAGCTCAACCGCACCCTCACCATAAAAGGAGGTGAAATCGAGAACATCTGGGTCCCAGATCCCTACTGTTACAACGCGCGGGAATCTAACATGATGATGCCAGACGAAGAAGTCCATAGTTCTGTCAGCATCAAATCTACTGGAGACGTACTCTACAGCAAAGGGTATGTGAAGTGTCAATAAATGAAGTTTATCAATAACTGTCAAGACTAGGAAGCCATGACGTCATGTTGACAAGAACTGTCAAAAGCTTTGGCACGAAATGGAGTGGTAGAGGAATATAGCTTGCTTTCTTAATATACTTACTGGTTCTCTTTAACTAATCCCGGTTTTAAGTACTTAGCTCTCAATTTGGTTCTTAGTATAAAAAACATGCCGTCCATCGTGTTCACTTTATGGTCATCTGCGACGCGTCACTTCGTGTTTTGATGAAGAAGATTTCGCCATAATTTAATAGTCAAGCTGCGGTAATGGAAATCCACCAACTTGATTGGTTCTCCCGTAGCCCGGTAAAGTGCAGGTGTTTTCCAAACAATGTTCACCAATTAGCGGTATTAGCTCGCGGTCGAGTAGATTTGCTATCTTGTTAGCTTAGCAAATGTGGGTGAGGAGGGTGTAAGCTCCTCTTTTAGACTATCTTCTCCCTCCCCCCCCCTAGGACGCCTTTTCGTATCTCCCCAAGCCTCTTCTGAGTTTGAATTCAAGATGGCTCTTGCTTAATTGATCAAAATGCGTTCGCTCGCCAAAATGCGCCTTCATGATCATTGAAGGCAAGTTCAATTCGTGGTCAATTCACTGATGAAGCAAGATTGCGGGCGCGATGCCTTCAAGGAGAATCATTCTTTATTTTTTGGCTTAAAAATGTCTTCATTTGTGGCTTTGGACTACAAATAAATTCACCAAGCTAACATCGCTCATAGATGAGAACAAGTAGTGTCATTGTTATTTATTTTTACATTGTTTGTGTTCTTTACTTCGAATAGGGTAACTCTGCTCGCTTCATGCATCATGAATCTTCGGAGCTTTCCACATGATTCACAGGAATGCCATCTCAAGTTTGGAAGTTGTAAGTACTGAGCGCACAGATATATTTCAAACAGAAATGAAAAACTTAAGTTCACAAAATGAAAATAAAAACCAAAAAAGTCCAAAAAATTGAATGCAGATGCGTCAAAATCCTTAAATCTCAAATCAGTCTGAAAAACAAGATTATTGACTAACTTGAGGATTAACAAAATTATTACTTGTCAAAAACTAGTCTTATTACGTCAGAAAATTTCACAAAAGAGAAATTTAAATAACATAATTAATTTTGTTCAGATCTATAGCGCCTCATAATAACATTGTAATAATGAAATATAGTAGAACCCCGTTAATCCGGTCACCAACGGGCCAAAAAATCTGGCCGTATTAAATGGGGGGGTCTTTGAATTAGAAAATGACTGACTGAGCTTTTCTTCGGGCCAGAATAAAGAGGCCAAAATAACGAGGTGGTCGTTGTTGGGCATGTTAAACATGTATAACCTAATAACTTCCCTTTATTATCAGGCTCAACAAACACAGAACAGTGCAGACAAATGTACATGCACTGAGTTGATCAATAATCATTACAACAAGGCGTAGACCCCTAGATAAGCACAATGAGCTCTTGGGAAAGAAATATTTTTTAAATAAAAAGAAAATCAAAACTAAGTAAGAAACGCCTTTAGTAATCCTTAATGTTAGCTTAACTTTTGTTCCTGTTTTACATACAGATAGTTACACCACCGAGGACATCGTATTTAAATGGAACGCTACAGATGTCAGTGTAGGAACAGACGAAATGGCTCAGTTTGAGTACAAAGGCGCAAAGTTGTCTTCAGATGAAGACGTCTTCACCATAGGTAACAAATCTTAATACTTACGCTCGTTCCAGCTCTCAACCCCTCTCTCCTTAGCTCCACCTACCCCTCCCTTGCTTCTTCCCGTCCTCCTCCTCTCCCCCCTACCTTCTTCCATTTATTTATCTTTCAATATTTTCAATACTATTCTCCCACTATGATCAGAAACAGCGCGTTTGCACGTAAAATTATATATCATGAAAGAGAAGGATGCGTTCTTTTAGCGTGATCTGGATCAGGATCAGTGATCCAAGATCACTCGGATCATGGTGCATCAAAGGAACCACTGAATCCGTGACCAGAGTGAATTCATTGGTTTCTTTGAGGTACCATGATCTGATTGATCGTGGATCACTGATCCTGATACAGATCACGCCAAAGGAACACACCCCAAAAAGGCAAATCTAGAGTGGCCATTGCAACGAATTGAAGTTTAGGGGGAGCACTGCACAGAAAAACAAGCCCAAGAACTAGAGAATACTTGGTTTAGTAAACACAAAATGTTTAAAAAGCAAATATTTATAATAACCTCTTTAACCGTGTTGTTTTCTTTTAGGAAACTTCTCAACCATTACCGTAACCTTTTCCTTCCAAAGACGAATAGGTTATTACCTCATTCAAGTCTACTTTCCAGACATCTTTGTCGTGGCGCTAAGCTGGATAGTTTTCTGGATGGATAAAGATGACATGGGCAACAGAATGGCGCTGGGAATCACCACCATCTTAACCATTATGTTTCTTCTCGGTTCTCTGAATGGAACTCTCCCAAAGGTCAGCTACCCAAAAGCGCTGGACTGGTACCTGTTGATGTCATTTGCGTTCGTGTTTCTCTCGCTAGTGGAATGTATGATCGTGTTTTGTTTGAATTTAAGCGCCAATGGGGACAAGGAACAAATCAAATGCAAGGTATGTTTGAAACAGAGGCACACGCTCTTCCGCAGATTACTTTGCGTCCCAACTCGTACACGCGAGAAAACGCGATTAGTTAGTTAGGTTATATAAGTTCTTGGTTCGTTGGTTCGTTGGTCCTTTCGTTGGTTGGTTGGTTGGTTGGTTGGTTGGTTGGTTCATTGGTTCGTTCGTTCTTTCGTTGGTTGGTTCGTTGGTTCGTTGGTTCGTTGGTTCGTTGGTTCGTTGGTTCGTTGGTTCTTTCGTTGGCTGGTTCGTTGATTCGTTGATTCGTTGATTCGTTGGTTCGTTGGTTCTTTGGTTCGTTCGTTCTTTCGTTGGTTGGTTGGTTGGTTGGTTCTTTCGTTGTTTGGTTCGTTGGTTCGTTGGTTCGCTGGTTCGTTGGTTCGTTGGTTCGTTGGTTCGTTGGTTCGTTGGTTCGTTGGTTCGTTGGTTCGTTGGTTCGTTGGTTCTTTGGTTCGTTCGTTCTTTCGTTGGTTGGTTGGTTGGTTGGTTGGTTCGTCGGTTCTTTCGTTCTTTCGTTGGTTGGTTCGTTCTTTTGTTGGTTCGTTGGTTCTTTCGTTGTTTGGTTTATTCGTTGTTTGGTTCTTTCGTTCGTTTTACTCCTAACCTAATTTAATTCAATCCGAAAAATGAATGCAACTTTCAAGGGCGTAATTTATAACTTCCAGCTACTTCCCTTGACAGCGAAATAACCAACTCTACATACTATCTTTTCGGTGCCATTGTCAGCTTTTTTCTATATTAAGTTTCAAGTTCCATTTTTTGTGTGTTATAAAAGATAATAAAAACAGCCCTACAAAAATACTCGCGCTGATTTGTTAAAAATCGTGTTTCTATTGAGCAATTAGATTATGTGCTCGAGATTTCTATCGCGCGATAGTTGACGAGGCTAGGACGCAGCCCGAGTCAGCCATCACGGATAGAAATCGAGAGCGATTAACCTAATTGTTTTAGTATAAATCTACTAGTCGTTCAAAACCTCTTCACAGACACCTCGAAAGCGCAAAGAAGCGGCCGTCATTTTGTTAAAAAGCGCACACTGCTACGCTACTCACTATCTATCACAGAATAGATAGTGAGTAACGTAGCCAATCAGAGAACGGCATAGAAACACGATATTTTTTCTATTTCTTAAATAATTAAAAAAGATAACCCTGTATCGTTTGATTTTCATTTTAGGTCAACCAGATCCCCATCTCCAAAAAGATTTCCCAGTCTTTAAAATCTGTTATTAGTACCAACAAGGAAGGACACTCTCCAAAAGCAAACGGCCATGTCGTTACGAACACGAACTTCGAAGATGATGATCTTGAAATGGTGGAACAAGCCAGCAAAGCAAACAAATCAGTCGTGGATGATGCGGCGATTGAAGAGTTCATTGGAACGAGCAAAAAAGAAATGGCAGCTGAATACACAGACAAGGCATCACAAGTTTTATTTCCCTTGTCGTTCGTCGTTTTCAACGTTGTATACTGGATTTATTTTAGCGTTGCTGGCTGAAAATTGCTTATGGTTGCGAGTACCAGTCTGCTCCATATTCAGTGGATTAGTTCATAATCTGTGACATTTGATTTCCGCAAAGAGTTACGAGTTTTATTTCCTTTGTTATTCATCGTTTTCAACGTTGCATACTGGGTTTATTTCACAGTTACTGGCTAGAAATTGCTTTCAGTTGCATGTGCCAGAGCGCGAAACTTACATATTAAGGTGACAAGACCAAAATGTGGCCCAGAGTAGCCTGAATTTGGTACGAGAATATACTCAGATATTTGTCCCTGGACACTATCTGTTCCTCTAAGCTCACAGTTTTCCTCGAGGCGTTCTCGGAACAGATCATGTCTGCGGACAAATATCCGAGCATACTGTCGTACTAAATGGAGGTTATTTTCTATTGATTTCCGCAACATTTAGAAAAGAAACGAATTTTTGAGTGAGAGATTGGATAGTCATAAGGTAGCAAAGAGCCCATGGTTCATAAGATTGTCACATTTTTTTTCCGAAGCTGCAACAATTTGATTACGAGTTTTAATAAAATTTCGAGAAGAAAGCGAGAGTTGGATACAGCAAGACCTCAGTTAAACATTTTCCCGTAAAGACCTCACTCTCGATTAACAAGTATTTAGTAGGGCTACTAAGCAAGCGTGAGGTCAAGATGGCTGAAAAGTGGATGCTAGAAAAGTATTTTTAAGTTTTTCGTTTATAGTCTTTATATCAGGGGACAAACGTAATCGAGGTCCAGAAACATGCAAGAAGAAGCAGATTAATATGCATGCAGCTTGAACGAAAAAAGCTTGCTCCATGTGCTCATTTTTTTTTTTTTTCTGGCGAGAAACTGGCAGTGCGAAATCCCGAATGGTGGAAGATAGCCCCATCTCACCCGCTCGGTTAGCCAATCACTGAACAGGGTTTAATTCATCTTGCTTCAGTTTGTGAAGCTGTACATCAGTACTAACGACTCTTCTTGCTAAGGGAGCCAAGGCAATTTCGATATATTAAAATTTGAACTTGGCTCGGAGGTTCAGGGGAATAAAACAAAAGAAATTAATTATTCATCCCTCATACAGTAGATCTTCGATTCGATTTCTTTTGTTTTATTCCCATTAGCTTCGGAACCGAGTTAGAATTTAAATATATCAAAATTAACCCATTGTCGGTCAAAATTAAAGTTAGTTAAAGAGATTTGTTGGCAGCTTTCTTCATGGTCCCGCAACAGGTTTGTGCATAATTTATTTTGCTAATTGTCATTCAAGCTGAAAGTAAAGTTATTTTAAGCTAAGTTGACAGTGTTTTGTCGTCGTGCGGCAGACAATTGGAAGTTTTTGTTTCATATCAGCAAGCAATTATCTTGAGCCGTTGGAACCTTTGCCAAGCACTAGCGCCTGTTAATAATGTAAGTGCATTTCTTTAGAAGTTGTCTTGTTATATTAAGATATTCTGTTTTAGCTTATACTACAAAGTTGACATTTTTTCCGCTGGAGTAAACTGTGTGCAAAGGTTTCGTTTAACCTCATTGTTCATCATTGTATATATATGTGGTCCTTGGAGTCCTTGGACTCTTCCATCCCTTTGATAAAGCATTAAGAAACGCACAGAATTCCTGATGTTATTATATATAGCGTCAACTGCTTGTCCAAAGACTCAAAACTAAACTAAGAAATCAAACACTTACTTCATGAGCAGTACTTCGACAGTGTGGAGAACAATTTGAGAGCACATGAACAGACATGCAAATCACTGAAAGTAAACACGTAATAGTGTTCTTAAAGTTTGACGCGGTCACGGGGGTTCGTTTGTGAGCTTAATAACTCTTGTCTTTGGGTTGTGGAAGTGTTACGCCTGGTCCTACTTTGTGTTTGACTTACAGCTGTGTGATTTGGATGTTAACTGATGATCACGTTGCGTTATCTGCTCGGTTGATTTCTGTTAGTTATGTAGTTCATTGCTCGCCATAATGATTCATTTACATTCCATCGTAGCCATCAGGTCTATAAACGAAGCTCCGTAGCCGTTTTCCATTTAACAACGTCAATAGGCATTCAGAGGAAAATGTCACTTGTTAGTCCATACTGAGCTCTTTCAGGCGGAAGAGTGATTTTCTATATAACAATAAAACGAGCTATAATCATAATTCTATAAACAAACACGTCTGGTTTCGCAGAAGCTGTTGTGCTGTTTCGACGGGCAGATGAAACACTTTGCTTATCGCCAACTTGAAGTTGATAAATTAAAGAGTAGATCAGAACCGCGGTGGCAAAAATAGAGAGTTGAATTTGGAAAACTATCTCACGGTGTTTCAGTAATCAGTTGCAATGATCATCAATTTCACGTCGATTCTGTCGATTTTAGGCCTCTTAAGACCAATTACGCTTTTATAAAGACTTAGCTGCTAAGTTGGGAAAAACCCTTTTTTGTTATCTTAAGGAATTTAGGTCAAGGAAACTTAATTTCGCCCGGCCGTAATATTCTGGGAAGCTGTAACAGAGTGTTCTTGGCGATAATAATTATGTTTTGAACATTTACATACTCATCGATACATATCATTCATGAATAAACAATTTCCCTGTGTACGGTGGAAGCATCAGTTATCCACCGTAAAACAATTCAAAGTATACGTCAATATGCAGACACCAGAAGATATCACGTAGGGGGTATTTAATAATTACTCATGGAGCGCGTTGCTTTATTAAAAGCAAACTCGAAATTTCGTGGCCGAAATATCGACAGACGATTTTCTTCGACCTTCTTTGTCGGTAGAAGGGCCACCGGACTGATATCCGACTGCCGCTAAGCCATTCTGACATTCTACGTCATAAGGTAAATAATATATATATGTCTGTAGTGATGTTTTGGAATAATGACCACGTTTGAATGTTAAAATTGTTAGATCAAAATAGCGCGAGCCGTTAAGGGATAACATTACGTGGTATTATCGTCAAATAGCAAGGATATTTCTGTAAATAAAATATGTATGTATTCTTGCTATCATACTGTCTATAACAATTTAATAAGGCAAATATATTTTACCTGTCTGGCTTCACTTATGATCCGACTGATCTACAAACGAGTTGCAAACACACCATGGGTTTTTGGTTTAACATGCGTAGTTTTGTAAATGTACATATGAACTTTCGTCGGAGAATTGCGTTGAAATGTCGACTTCATGTTCATCTACACCCTGTGACTGACCGCCAATAGAAATGTCCGCCATCTGGTTTTTGACAAATTGCTACTGTAACTGTCACAGTTACCATATATGGAAACCCTTTCTACCAAATTTGGAAACTGACGCAATGCTGTTATCACTCAATTGCTTTAACAACTGAGCAGCTTCGACTGGCTTGGCTTGCAGCTGGTTACAATGGAAAGTAGGCAATACTCAGTTAAATAATAATAGTAATAATGATAATAATAATAATAGTAATAATAACAATAACAACAACAATAATAATAATGATAATAATAATAATTCAAAAACATACTAGGTAACACTCGTACTGTCATTGAAAAGAGCAATAATATATTAATTTCGCGTTTTGTAACACGTCGTCGCTATTTGTAATAAAGTAAATGGTTTCAAACATGATTTAATAAACCACAGGCTTTTTTCGCTTTGTAAAAAAATCTTTAATTAGTCTTTCGTCACATTTGGCTCCCCTTCCATTTATACGATGATTGAACATTTTTCATCATGATCAATGGACCGGACTGGAAAAAACCCGTAGAACTTTGTTTTTGATTAACGGATTGGAAGAGAAAACGAAACAAGACATGAAGATGACACCAACGGAAAGTATTTGTGGGCAATTTTACAAGTTACTGCAAAAATTGGTGTAAAACGAGACATGTGTCATTACAATATACGCCGAGTCGAATTACTACAAATTGCAACAAAGTGTTATTAAAAATTCCGATTGGTTTGTAGCTCAAATATATGACAAGTAGTGTCACAGTTTTCGACAGCAAGAGAAAATGGTATTACAAAATGCGACCAGCAGTATACATATTTTAAAATTACAATTGGTGACTGTAGGCCTAAGTGCTACAGAACGTGGCCTTGAAATAATTTACGACTTAATGTAAAAATACGCCTTTTTATGTGTTTTCTAGTAGGAAAATGAGACAAGGATTCTTCATAAAGATTTATTTGCTACTTATGTTACTAGTGGCCTGGTCAAGATCGTAAGTACATTTTACTAGGTAGAAACGTATTCACTTCCTTTCGTGGCCCTTGTTGACTTTTCCGGGGGGAGAAACAAAATACAGCACATTTTAATTTGTGTGTTATTCTTTACAGGGTCAGTTGCGACGCTGATGTGATAAAAAAATTTTTCGCTGGCTATGACAAAGCAGTACGACCAGATTTTGGTAAGTGCTGTTAAACAATACACGATATTCACCTTATATTCGGACTAATCATGTTCAGAGCTAGTGAAAAGAAAAAAAAACAAAAAGCAGTGGCCTTCGCCGGCAGATGAATTATCTATTAGTTTCATTATGGAGCTTGGAGGCGCAGTGGCTTCATGGTTAGTGCGCTCGACTCCGGATCGAACGGTCCAGGTTCACGATCGAGCCCTGGCCGGGGACATTGTGTTGTGTTCTTGGCTAAGAAACATTACTCTCACAGTGCCTCTCTCCGACCAGGTGTACAAATGGGTACCGGCGAGGTTAATGCTGTGGGTAACCCTGCGATGGACTAGCATCCCATCCAGGGGGGAGTGGTAATACTCCTAGTCGCTTCATGCATGCTATAGAAACTAGGATAAGCTCCGGCCTGATGGGCCACTTGGCTCGTATGCAGACGTTACCTTCATTAGGGAGCTATATGTATTGCGTTTCCTTGTTTATCAGAAAAAAAAAAAGAGAAATCCATATAAAAAAATCAATGTGAAATTGTACTCTTTTTTTATCTTTTTTCGGTAGATGAGGGACAAGCGACGACCATCTTCGCAGATCTATACGTGGAATCGTTTGGAAACATACAAGAAGCAAATATGGTGAGAATTATATTGTTGTTGTGACGATACTGAAGTTTTGTATATATTGATTCTAAAAAAAACTAAGATTTAAAACACATTTTACTCTTGGACTAGACATTTACCTACTAATGCTAACATTCACTTAAATTTAGCTCGTGATATGTTTTGTTAATGGATATAAGTAGTACAGCTAGCCATTTTTTTTAAGGAGCAATTTTGCCCTCGATGAATAACGTCTTCACGTCGGATATAACTGATATAAAGATGACGTAGCTTAACTGATGTTTTGTCCGTGTTAGAATAGACTGTAAATCTATCAAACTTAAGTGATGGACTAGTATTGTATGAAAGGCTGTCATGAGTGGGATATTGTTTTTTTTAAAGAAATAATTTTGTTTTTAATCGCCAGGAGTACAGAGTTTATACCTATTTTTATCAAAAATGGAAAGATTCTCGACTTGCCGGAAAGCTCAACCGCACTCTCGTCTTAAAAGGAGCTGATATCCAGAACATATGGGTTCCAGATCCCTACTGTTACAACGCGCGGGAATCTAACATGATGATGCCAGATTCTGAAACGCATAGTAGCGTCAGCATCAAACCAAGTGGAGATATACTTTACAGCAAAGGGTATGTACTATGTTTTGAAGCAAACATCTATAGACTGCATGATACTAGCCATGTGGGTGATAACAAAATTATAGCGACGAAGTTATGCCTTTCTTCCAATACACTCACGGTGGTGTATGAAGTTTAAACCCAGAAATCGAGTTCGATCAATCAGATCAAGAGCTAGTCTGAACGATGCCTAACTAGCACTGGTACCACGTTTTAACTCAAGTTTCTGAAACATGTAGTGACTTACAGTAAGGTTAAATCTCTGCCCGTCTGGAATGCGAGTCTGTCGCAACATATCCATCAAACATTTTTTTTCCTGGGAGGTGGGGGTGGGGGGAATTCTTTAACAATTGGTTTTAGCTCTTATTTTCGATAAAAATGTGAGTTACAGTAAGCCTTAATGTAAGTACTGGCTAATCACAATGCTCTTTTTTTGTTGTTGTTCTTTGACAGCGTAACTCTGCTTGCTTCTTGTAACATGGATCTTCGGAGTTTTCCTCATGATTCACAGGCCTGCTATCTCAAGTTTGGAAGTTGTAAGTGTCTTTGTCTAAATCACAGACACCTATCAAAGTTCGCAGTATTCCAACGGTTGGTCTGTTTGGTACAATCAACACTCAATGTTCTTCACGTCTCCAGAAGAACAACACGAAAAATATATGAAATCATTCGGACAGTCCCCAAGTTCAACTTGCTGGGCATGTTAAAGATGCAACTTGTTATTCATCCTCAAAACAACAGGATAAATGTACTCTAGAATTAATATTTCTCTGGACATTTCTGCGATATAAACGCGACAACCAAAACGAACACCGCTAATGGAAAAAGCAAAACAATAACATTTCCTCTGTTTTCCATGCGTTTTAATCTGCTATGCAAAACGTCTTCTCCATATTAACAGCTGCTGGTCATTTAGTATTATGTTATCTACTTTTCATTAATACAGATAGTTATACCAAGGAGGATATTGTTTTTAAATGGAACGCGACTGATATAAGAGTTGGATCAAAACAGATGGCTCAGTTTGAGTACAAAGGCGCAGAGTTGTCTTCGGATACAGACGTCTTCGACATAGGTGAGCACAGTTAAACTCCCCTTCTCAATTACTCTCAACTCCCTCTTTTTCTCCAGCTATCCCTCCATCCCTTCTGCTCCTTACCTTTCTTTTCCTTTTATTTTTCCTTTCCCTTCCTTCCTTTTTTCCTCCTATGTTTCCTCCATTTCGTCTTCCTTATCCTTCTCTCTTTTGTTCCTTCCTTTCTACAGGCTAAGTTATGTCATTCGATCTTCCTCGAAAATGTTTGCACTTTAAACAAATTTTAAAAAAGTCTCATTCCTTCATATGTTCATCTTCTACTATCACATTTGCACTTTGATTTCATGACTCCTAAAGTAAAAAGAAGAGCAAGAAAAGGAAGATAAGAGAGTGGAGGAAAAAACACTGACATTCTCTAGAGAGAAAAGACACGCTTAAGTTTAAGTTTTCAGTAGCAGGGTTCGAATTCTTTAACATTGTCTTCGTAAATCCGGTCATATAAATAGCAAAGAGTTAAGGCTTGATCTTTCTCTTTGTAAAACTCCTTAATGAGACTTTTTGGACATGTATTGATGCCTACTTAGTAAACCTGAGATGAACCAAAACCCTTCTCTTGCCTAAAACGACCAAATATGTCTTCATTTTCGTGCATTAATCCCTTTTCTTTTTTTTTTTTTCCAGGAAACTACTCCACAGTCACTCTGACTTTCTTCTTTAAAAGACGAGTCGGTTACTACCTCATTCAAGTTTACTCTCCAGACATTTTTGTCGTGGCACTGAGCTGGATTGTCTTCTGGATGGACAAAGATGACATGGGAGACAGAATGGCTCTTGGAATCACCACCATTTTGACCATCATGTTTCTCCTTGGATCTCTCAATGGCAACTTGCCTAAAGTCAGCTACCCAAAGGCTCTTGACTGGTATCTGCTGGTGTCGTTCAGTTTTGTGTTCATGTCCTTAGTGGAATGTATGATCGTGTTCATTTTGAATCTCAGGGCTGCTGAAGATAAGAAACGAATAAAATGCAAGGTATGTTTAAAAATGCTGTGGACCGTCTTTGCAGTAACCTACAGTACCTCTTGGTGCAAAATATAGATGGGGTATACTCGCTTTGCGTGCTTTTTTAATTGATCAATTTGGATCTACTTTCTGATTATTCGCCTCGACCCTCTCCACCCAGAAGTACAAGGTGTAAAAGCACACTCTTGATAGGGCAACATATCAAGTTGTTATATATAGCTGGAGTTTAGTTAAATCTAACGCGCGCTTTCATTGGTTGATTTATGGTCACCTGGCAATGACTAAGGCTGCGTTCCTTTGGGGTGGTCTGGATCAGGATCAGTGATCCAAGATCTGTATGGATCATGGTGCATCAAAGAAACCGATGAATCCATGACCAGAATGGATTCGTCGGTTCTTTTGATGCACCATGATCCATACAGATCTTGGATCACTGACCCCGATCCAGATCACCCCAAAGGAACGCACCCTCAAACTAAATATTTCCAGAGGGTAACAACAACAAAAAAAATCAATTTTATAGCTTTCTTCCCCACTAACCATAATTACCTTGACTTCTCCTCGTCTTATAACGTTACACTAACCTCCATCTTTGTAGCAAAACACTTAATCTTTGGTCCCTTGGGAAACAATTAGTTTCATTGTGTATAATGTTGGTGGGAGTAAACTGCCATGAAGTTATGAACATACCACCCACGGGATCTAGCAATGCACTAATCCCCTTAATGTTATAGAAACCAGGGGTACATCCCGAGCTCATACATTTAGAACGTAAGGGAGTGACCATCTTCTTCGGTTTCTACTTTCAGGTCAACGAAGTCTCTCTCTCAAAAAGAATTTCCTCGTCCATAAAAGGAGCCATTCGTCTTAAAAAGGACAAAAGATCTCACCAATCAATCGCTGGGCACAATGGTTCCTCCAAAACTGCGAGTACTGGTTTTGAAGATGACGACCTTGAAATGGTTAACCTAGCAAGTAAAGCGGACAAATCTGTGATAGATGATGCGACTGTGGACTTTGTTGGCCACGACAAAAGAGGAACTACCGCTGACTACCTTGACAAAGCTTCCCGAGTTTTATTTCCGCTGTCTTTTATCACATTCAATATAGTATACTGGATTTATTTCTCGCTTTTCGGCTAAAACCTCACAAATAACAATTAACCTCTGATGATAACACATGTTCGCCTCAGATTTTTGTCCTCTGTGAATTCGTCAAGATCAACTGCTTATTTTAAACTGTATGTTTTCGGAATATAGAGGAACATTAAATTAAATGTAGTTCAACGGATATACTTATGTTCTTAATTAGTTCCTTTACATGGCTGATCTGATCTACAGCTGCTGTGATTAATTTCAATCGTAATATCGTCTTAGTTTCTGATAACGGGTCAAGAAAAAAATAATAAAATGAAAATAAAATAAAATAATAGGATTTGTTTCGTTTTAATTTCTTTTTGCTAGCTTTGAAAGTTGAATTGTACCTTCAGCTCATGATGTTTAGCTCTTGAGCTTTTGATTCTTTCCGCCGGATTCCCACGTGAGACCTTGGGAACGAGGTTGCGGGGATCCCTACCCATCCTCTCTAGACAGTGATACATCATTGAAAGAACAGCTCGACTGTCTAGTCCTTGTTTTGTTTCTTTGCTGACGATTTGCTTTCGGAGCTAAAATTTACTTCTAAATAAATACATGCAATGGCCTGGACGTAGAGAAAATTGATCTTCATTTGCATTCGGCTTTTCGGAGTTTTGTTTGTCGATTCCGACAACATGATTGTACATGTTTATTACATTCAGTGTAATTCCTAACAATTAGATATCATATTTACTGTTAATTGTCAACAACGCCAAAAATCTTTATTACAAATGCGAATGAGTAGCTTTCGGTTATTGTTTTGAAATGTAGTGTATTGTATAACTTTGGGAATTTTAAGAAGAAACGACAAAAGTACAGTATATATGATCCTGTTTGTGGATCATTAAGCCGATTAGAGTGTGACAGGATAATAATATTATTAATTTAACAAATTCACGACATGTAAAAAATATAATGATAATAGTAACAAAAGGTTTGACAGAATATAAAATTTATTTCTTTTTTTTAATAAACGTTGCAAGGAAGTCCGAACTGAGTTGCTTGCTTACCCGTATATAATTCGATAATTATTACGATTGAAGGCAAGCCTAGTAACCATCAACAAAACACATTGTTTACGTAAGATTTTAAATTAAAATGCCCTTGAGCCATAAGAGGGTCAGTGAAAGGCCGCGCGGTATTGTGTTTACGTTAAAAGGAGCACTAAAGCGTCTTACGAGCTCACCAGATCGAAATCATTTCCAACGTGTCCAATATCAGATTAAAGAGGTTTAGGTACAAGAAATTTTCAAGGGCGACAGCTGAACTGGCAAGATGGCAAGGTAAATAACGGGTCAAGAGTATTAAACTGTAAATTCTTCTCAGTTTAAAACCGGACGTGCAAATATCATCGGAAAAAGCCATGCAAATTTGTCTTAGGAGAACACTCAGGGAACTGTAAATAGCGAATTAGGACAGTGAGAAACAACGCTGGAATAGCATATTTTCTGGTAAGTCAATAAGTTTTACAGCTGCAAAGAATAAGATATTTAATATCAAGAGATGCCAACTTTGCCTCAATCCTCCCAGACGAGCACTTGTATGAGATATTCTAGTTATTCTCTAAGCTCAGGCAAAAAGTAGAAGCTCTATCATTTAAAGAAGTAGAATTTTTCTCGGATAAAACCCAATCTAAAAAGTAAGAGGTTTTTTCACCCGGCCTCGCGATTCCCATTAGTGTTCCATATTGACTTGTAAAAGTTATGCCTTGAATTTATCACAATAAGACATTGCCTTACCACTGTATTGAACACCGGAAAATGTGTAGATCCTGTTTATAAACTAATCTATTTACGAACGGGCAATAATATTTTGAGACGGGTACACACGGAAGCAAATGAATTTAGGTTGCCTGTCTCTTAAACGATTTGCACAGGAACGAAGAAACCGGGCTCAGTTAAAATGTGCTCGGGCTAGTTGTGCTAACGTGATCGAAGTTTATCATAAGGTGAAACACACATGAGAGGGGTGACTCAGTCAGCTGCTATGACACGCTATCATTTTACTGGCCTACTTGTCTAAATTGTCGATGAAAAGCATGCAAAACACCAAATAACAACTTGGAGTCGCTACTTTTTTCAAAAGTGAGATTGTCGGACACTAAAGCTTATATGAAAAGAAGCTAGAGTTTTAGAGTTTATGCGAATACGCTGGTGAATACACGACTACTGGTAACAAAATTTAAGTCCTGATTTTTCACTGAATCCCACACTTAAGCAATCGGTTTAATTTGTTTCCTGTATTGCCATAACAAGCTGATTTTAGAGTTGGACCTGTCTTCATTGCTCTGTGGAGATAAATATCTTGACTCTATGAACTAGAAGACCTAATGTAAAACTCCGCTTAACGTACGTCTTCAGCGGAAATTTATTCGGTTCCCATCTTGCAAGTCACCAGTTTAAAAGTATGCTGAATCAGTCGGCCTTCAACTCATTATAAGTCAGTCGTTAAAATTCGGCGCAAATTGATCTGCCTTCGCTTTTATTAAAGAGCGACCCCTCATATATTAGCCTTTTCTTGAGTTTCCGTTAGAAACGACTGGTAAACAATGTATTTGCTATTTATCGCACTGATTGTAATGTTTAGGATAGACAAGGTTTCGATATTCCCTTTGCGTTCAAGAACTTTGCTTGAACCGTACCCTTGCGGGGTAATTTCGAATTTCGAGAACAATCATATGCTAGGATATGTTACTATACAGGCAAAAATTTAATCTAATTTAAGAAGATTCAAATAGAAGCAAAATTTATTACTATTTCACGTTAATTTTCTATTCAATCGTTTTTTGTTTTTTTTTTTGTCTTTTTTTGTTTTGTTTTTTTTATATATACATATCATGCAGTGTAACTGATTGAGTGCATGATCTTTAGAGCCATAAAACGCTTAAATTAGTTCGCGGTAGAACATCGGATACTGAACTTTTTTTCTTCGTACACGTCACTATCACGTGAAGCAAGCTGCGGGGTTATTGATTCTAAAAACACCCTCTTAACGAAAAATATGATTAGTATTCACGAATGATAAGCTACAATTTAAAAATAGTATCTATTATCAATGACACTTGTCAAAATTATACTAACAAAATAACCGAGCACTTAGTAGAAACTAGACAGGCAAAATGGGATTAGGGTGTCGGCTATTTTGCACGCTAACTTTTTATTTGTGTAGGATAGTATTTATTTAAAATTGATTACATGACTCTGCGACTATTCTGTTAAATGTAATTCATGAAATTCAACCATACATTACAAAATATTTAAAACTTTCCTTGTATGTATGTAAACATCGTCTCAAATTCAAATTTTACTGTAGGTACTAGACACGTCTGTGTAATAAATATCACTGACATATTTAGGATTAATGACCTAATGTCAGACATCTCCTTTTATTTGTCTCCTTCGCTGTTTTCATTTTGAAACCGTGCTCGTACTTTAGCGTTTTTCCTTTTCTTAGCGAGACAAAACTATCATTGCATGCCCTAAGATATTGGTGATGCGTCTACCAATGGCGAATCATCGGTGTTAGCCAACGTTCGACTGTCTCTTAGAGCTCCTAAGGAATCGTTGAATTTCTAAGCCAAGTCCCTTGATCTCTCTGATCGTCGTTTTGTCCTAACCGGATGCCAGACGAATCAACAGCTGAATAGGAGATACTACAGGTAATTAGACTTTAAAAGCTCTGTTTTGTAGAATGATGAGCGAAAAAGGCTTAATTAAGGACTGAACTAGTCATTTTAAAATTCCCCTTCTCGAAATAGGCACTAGTATATCTCACGACTTTGTCAGTTATGTTATATATGATATAACGTGTATCAACCGACTCTGTATGATCTAACTTCATCCTTTCTTCTTCTGAAAGAAAAAGCACTCAAACGTCTATTGCTTGCTGCCTTGTTTCAAACCAAGAGACCAGGGACTCATTGGTTCACGCTCGTTTTCAATCGGCCTCCTCTCGCTAATTTATCAACGAGTTATTTTGATTATCAAATATCTTAAACTTACAGAAAGATGAAAGGGGTCTACAAGCAGTGTTCTCTGTCCAGATCAAGTTTTCTGATAGTTCTTATTATGATAAGTCCTGGAATGTAAGTATAAAAATTTAATAGTTCACCCTTCACCGCTTATTTGGAAAATAAATAGATAAATAAATACATGAATAAATAAACAGAGACAAGTGTAGATCTACAAACTTCATGTTTATAAAATATCATAATGGCAAATTTGTCAGTCGTTTATTGGACTTTTGTCACTCCAGGGTCGTTAGCAGCAGCGATCTTCTGGCAACCTTTTTTGCTGGATATGACAAGGCAGTTAGACCGGATTTTGGTAAGTGTGATTGTGCCACAGACTTTAGGACATTGTTAATTAAGCAAACGGGTAGTGAGAATATAGGATATCATCAACTAAGAGGGAGGAGCTCGAAATGTGGGGCAAGCATTCCAGTATGTATTTATACATTGTCCTGGTATCATACAAGAACTTTTGTTGTTCTTTGTTTTCAGATAAAGGCAAACCTTTGGTTATCTCAGCTGATTTGTACGTGGAAGCCTTTGGAAACATTAAAGAGGCTAACATGGTGAGTTTATCGAGAACCACAACAAGACTGCCAAAAAACAACAACAATATATTATAAAAATAGGTGACACACACAAACCTTATCACTGACGGAAGGTTGGAATATAAAAATCGTCGAAAAAACTCGAGAGAGACAGAAAATCATTTAAGAACAGCTAAGAAGTTTATATGGCAGTAATTAATTGCTGGTTTTCAGTGTCACGCAATTCAAAATAGATCAAAATAAAAATCAAAACAGGTCAATAGATTAAGTCCAGAATCTGGGAAATGAAATAAGGTAAATATGCAAAGACTCTCGCCAAAATTCTGGTCATAACAATTTTTCTTACGCGAGATATGCGGATAAATTTTTTACCCAAATATATAGAGATTTGTATGGAGACGCCATGCTGGTGCCCATCCGTATAGGCACCAACATGGTGGTCGGAAACCAACAGAAACATCTGTCACTGAGTTTTGCTACAAAAACGTGACTTTATCCCTCGAGGAAATCTACAACATTAGGATAAAAATTTTTCTAAGACATGAACTGTTCAGATAGCCAAGTTCCCCGAAATAAGACACGTTTTTAACCATCATGACAGCCCTCCAGGCCGTCACGTAAATGCCGCGGCACGCAAAAGCTTAGAAATTCAAGCGTAGTGTATCACAAAACCAAAAACCCATTCGGAGCGAAAAGTTGTATGAATATTAGTTTTCAGCTGCTCTTATACATCATTTAAGTAAAATTTCAGGAAGATCAATAGTTTTGTAGTTCGAATTTTAGTGACGTCATGTGAAAACCAGCTATTTTCTTTGGTTAGCTCATCATATCCCTTTACACTTTAAAACTTATAAGAAGTAATTACTTAAGATGGCCTAGTTTAGTAATAAACCTATACTCTTTTTTTATCAACAAACAGGAATATTTAGTGTATGGCTATTTTCGTCAGAGGTGGAAAGACTCGCGGCTTGCTGGGAGGCTTAACTACTCCCTTACCTTAAAAGGTGCTGATATCGAGAACATATGGGTACCAGACCCCTACTGTTACAACGCGCGCGAGTCAAATATGATGATGTTGGATACACAACTTCACAGCAGGATCTCTGTTGATCCCAGTGGAGACGTGCTCTACAGCAAAGGGTAAGTGTTTGACTTGATAAGTCAGACATTCCGTCAGACTGAGTCAACCAGTCGATCATTTTATGAGTCATTTAGTCAGGACAGACAGACAGAAAGTCAGTCAGGAAGTTGAACAGTCTATCAGTCAGGCGGCCAGACAAAGTCAGTCAGCTAGTCAGTCAGTTCGTCAGTACAGTCAGTCAATCAGTCAGTAGTTCAGTACAGTCAGTCAGTCAGCTAGTCACACAGTCAGTCAGTCAGTTAGTACAGTCAGCAAGTCGGCTAGTCAGTCAGCCAGTCAGTCAGTCAGTCAGTCAGTCAGTGCGGTCATTCAGTCATTCATTACAATCAGTCAGTCAGCTAGTCACACAGTCAGTCAGTCGGTTAGTTCAGTCAGTAAGTCGCTCAGTCAGTCAGTCAGTCAGCTAGTCACACAGTCAGTCCGTCAGCTAGTCAGCTTGTCAGTCAGTCAGTCAGTCAGTCAGCTAGCCAACAGTCAGTCGCTAAGTCACCAAGTCACTCACTAGTAAGTCAGTTAAGCCGTCATTTAGTAAGTATTGTAATTCTGTTGGGAAATTATTGCCCGAGAAGACGTGCGACTCACAAATAAAATATCATTACGCAGTGTCTATCTATATCTATCTATTTCCTCCTCAGTTTAACACTGCTGGCATCTTGCAATATGGATTTGCGAAAGTTCCCTTTGGATTCACAAAGCTGCTGTCTTAAATTTGGAAGCTGTAAGTATATAATATTTTACCGCCCTTGCATCACTTGTTAATGGAAAAAAGGAAAAATCATTTGTCTTAAGTATCATCATTTCCCGTACAAAATAAAGATAATTTCCCACTTTCATGCTAGCGAAATGCTATACGTTTAATGCCTGCCAATTGGTACCTGGCAGTAGGACGTGATTAGCGACACTGAGTTTGTGAATGTAAAAATACAGTGTATCTTATTCTTGACTTATTCACAAATTGGTTACTGTCTTTGTTACAGACGGGTACACCACAAATGACATTATCTTTGAATGGGGTCCCACAGGCGTCGTTGTTGGGAATAATGAAATGGCTCAGTTTGAATACAAAAGTAACAATATATCCTCGAGCATAGATGAGTTTAGCGTGGGTAAGTAAAAACTGAAGTCATAAGAAAAACCTTGCGGTATAGAGCAACATTTAATTAATTGATTAAAACGATGATATGAAGAGCAGAGTTTTCAAGTGAGTATTGTAAAACCAAAACCAAAGTTACCAATCTACTCAATCACAAATTACACAGAAAATCCAATGAACCAATCATAACTCCAAGCAAATACATGTGGCTGACGCGAAGCGTGGGGAACCACGAGCGAGTCACGATTGGTTTTGGTTTTACCGGCGCAAGTGTGTTTTTTTTTTTTTTTCATTAAGCCAATCGCTTATTTAGTCTGGTAATGCAAAACTAAAGCAATTACGAATCACTTTCGACTTACAATTCATATGATATCTCCATAATTGATGTTGATAAAGTTTTAAGGAGGTAAATCTCCCGGTAAACCAGGTGTTTAAATCACTGGTCGGCCTTCGCATTCTTCTCATTTTGTTTTCTTCCGACATTCTCTGTAGTCTATTTGTCCTTAGTCATCAACGAACTCATAAACTGAGCACTACCAAGTATAAATCCTACTCCATATCGAGGGATTGCTTACTACTATTGGTCGCAAAACATGCCCAAAGACGGCGTAAATTTGCATAGGTTTGACAGTAAATGTTCCATTCCTCTTCAGTAACGTTTCTTAAATAGATGATTTTCTTTCTTTTCTACTTGAAATCTTTTGCAGGAAATTTCTCAACCATATCCGTCAAGTTTTTATTCGAGCGACGAGTCGGGTACTACCTCATTCAAGTCTACCTTCCCGACGTTTTTGTCGTCGCACTAAGCTGGATTGTTTTCTGGATGGATAAAAAAGAAATGGGGGACAGAATGGCTCTAGGAATCACCACCATCTTAACCATCATGTTTCTTCTTGGATCTCTCAATGGTACCATGCCTAGAGTCAGCTATCCGAAAGCGCTGGACTGGTATTTACTGGTGTCATTTACGTTCGTGTTCCTGTCGTTGATAGAGTGTATGATTGTGTTCATTCTTACCTTAAAATCTAACAAAGACCACGAGAGAACAAATCGAAAGGTAATTTAATTGATATCTTTGGAACTGTTGTTTCTACCAACTGGTCATGCTTGGTCCCAGGATTTATTAACTGACAGACTCGTCTAATGTGATTGATTGATTGATTGATTGATTGATTGATTGATTGACTACTTGCTTGCTTGCTTTCTTTCTTGCTTGCTTGCTTGATTCATTGATGGATTATTGACTGAATGGCAGACTCACTGAATGACTGACTGAATGATTTATTAGTTGATTAATTGATTGACTGACTGACTGACTGACTGACTGATTAACTGATTAATTGATTGATTGATTGATTGATCATGACTGATTGAACAAATATCAGTTGCATTCCTTGCGACGTTTTGCTTTTTGATGTAAAAAGACAATCCATTATAGTTAATAACATGTACCCTGATTGGCCCGGAGATGTATGCATTGGCATACTCCAGATGAAATGTTTCAATATGCATCTGAATTAATTTGAATATTGAGACCAATCCTGAAGATAGTTTCCGAATCCAGAGTTCATGTAGAGGAAGGCCCCATGTATTCAGGACGAACGGGTAGCAACTATTTTTTAGACCACAGGTAAAATGGTAGAAGAAAAAAGGCTACCAAACAAAACTGTAAAGAAATGTTAGTTCAGACTGAGCAGTAATTATTAGGAGGGGGGTTCTGAAATGTGTACAATACCGTAAATTCCCTGTACAAAGGCTGAGATGGCTTTTTACCACCCTCTCCCTGTTAGAACTGATAACCAAGGTGCGTTTTGTAAAAATTGTTTAGGAACTGACTCATAACAGTTATACCTAACTTGCGCTTGCTTTACAGATGAGCGGCGCAATACCTCTCTCAAGAATGGATGCCAACAAAGTAAAGTTACCTCCTAATGGGAACCAATGCAACGGAATCAAAACGTCAGAAATCAACGGCAGCTTTAAAGGGAGCTACGCAACGAAAACGACATCAAGCCAGTCACCAGTAGATGATAGATTACCCGGAGATTTAACTTACGTCAGTTACAGTAGAACAGCAGCTGACAGCGTCGATAAAACATCTCGAGTATTGTTTCCAGTGTTGTTTATTATCTATAACATTGTGTACTGGGCTGTGTACGCGCTTCCTGGGAGCAAACCTAAGTAGGTTTGCCGCAGGAATGAAAGAACCGTTCATTGAACTCAGTAAAATATGCATTTGGTTTCCAACCAGCAATTTCTCTAAATTATAGAAGCTCAGTAGAGTGTGTTGTCAATATATATATAGTGTAAAGTAGACATAAGATGCTAAACTTAGGTCCGAAATATTTCTTATCGTAGCAAGATACAGGACCCAGGAACATCTTGCTCCTGAGGTATGAGCGAGTACTAGGGGAAGGATGAAGAAACGGGCGTCGTCGGCGTCTGCTTATTTGCTTACCTAACCCGAACCTCTCTAGAAGGACTACAAGGACCACCTTGAGTACTGAGCAAAGTGGCCGTTGTAAAGAGGTGGCCATTATGGGGAGGTTGGGTGTAAAATATGAAAACTAATTTTTTTGGAGTGCGACATTTTTATCTTTAGCATGTAAATTCGTAACACAATCAAAATATATCAAGAAAACAGAAAACAAACAGAAACAGAGACCAGCGATGTGCGGTTTGGATCCAACCTCCAACGATTTTTTCGAAAGTGCAACATTTTTATCTT